TTAAAGGTGGAGAAAAGAACAAACGCGCACGGCACACACGCGCGCACTAGGGATGGGTAAATTCGATATTCGAAGCTTCGAGATTCGAATTTTAATCGAATTTTCGCTCCGAAATGGCGAATTTTTGAAATCGAACTTTGAGGTGCTAAAATTCGGATAAAATCGAACTTTTCTAGAAAAAAAATCGAATTTCGTCTTTATTTGCAAAAAAGCAACTCTGCGACTTTTTGACTAAATTTGGCGTCACTCTAGATGGCGCCACGTTTGACTTAGGAATGCAAGTCAAAAAAAACATCGACTTTTTTCTAATGCATCGATGTATCGTATATAAAAATCGATATTTTCGATGCATCGAATAAATTGAAAACATACAAGAAAATGGAACAATCGGACTTACAGCCCTATTCCGGTTTTGCAATAGAATGACAATTGATCATCCTTCATTGTCGTGATTTTGTCATTGTCGTTGCACGTTGCTATTCCTAACAAAAAATGACATGGTGAAAAGTTCATTGTTGTAGAAACAGCTGGTCAACGCTATTATTTGCAAAAAATATGAGCGGTGAAACACCAGAAAAGTGAGTATTTGTGTGAAATAGATAAATTCGTGTATTTATAACATTTATAAATATTTTAGACGTGCAAAATATGAGCGGACGACGCAGGAGCAGCTGCAATTTTATGTGAAGTTTTGTAGGGAGCATCCGGAGCTGCTCGTCTTCCACAAGCACGGTTGCGCAAATAACAAAAATTTGTTCTGCCATTGAAATTAGTTGATTTTTATATTTTTTTCACAAATTTATTAAATCGTCGCACTTTTTAAACCAACACAAACATATGTTTTTGCCTTGTCACCTGCCCAAAAGGTCATGACAATAAAAATGACAATTGGCATGATTCGAGCTTTTGAATTTTGCTGCGAATACCAAAAGTTTTGTCAGTGTGGCGGAATAGGGCTGTTAGATAAATTATTAAGTATTAACTCAAAGTGAAATATGTTTATTTTTTTAATAGTTGCAAATCCCATTTATAAGTATAAATTCATGCACCGTATATGAAAATCGATATTTTCGATGCATTGAATGAATTAATAAAAATGTACAAGGAAATTGAAAATCGGAACTTCGATAAATGTTTAAGTATAAACTCAAGGTGAAATAGATTTATTGATGATGTAAAAGTAAAGATAATTAATTGTCTTTGAATTGTCAGCAATACTCTTCTAATCGGTCAATCGGTTTCTTGGTATTCTTATAAGCTGCAAAATCATATTTATAATCTAAAAGACATTAATACAATGAATACAATACAATAATTTAATACAAAATGTATATTTGGTGAACATTCATTCGCATCAGCTGTCAAATTGAAATATATCGATGTATATTGAAGAGAAAATACAATGGTTTTATTCGATGATTCGAATAGCAAACATCAATGTTTCCAATGTATCGATGTTTTTGTGCATGGATGTTTTTGTGCATCCCTAACTTGCCCCATTTCAATTCTGCAAATTTGCTTGCGTTTATTTTACACAGGTAAGAATATTGTGAAAATGTATACTATTAGTGTTATAAAAGTTTGGTTTTTTACAGCAGAGTCGATAATTTTATGCGCCGTATACACTTTGAGTTTGCTTACTGAATTTTTCATACATTATTACTAACAATGAGCCCAAGTATTGTGTGGCAGTACTACGATAAAAAAGAAAAAGGAATTGCGATCTGCGTAAAGTGCGGGAAATGCTTTAAGTACCACAGCAGCACAACCACGTTAAAAAACCACGTAGAAAAAGTACACAAAATTAAAATGGAGGTAAAGGAATTTAATTTATATATTTCAATACCGAAAATTGTTCCATTTATTTATAGAAAACTGACATCATTGAGCTTGTGGACAACGATGATGACAATGAGGTATGAGTTCCCTAGGGTTTCATTTGTAATACATATTGTTACTTTTCTGTTCACACAATTTTTTAGCCGAATCAAAAGAAGTCTAAATCTGTTTACCCAATACGAAATTCCTTTGAAAGAGCAGTATCATTTTCTGGTGTGTATGCATTAAAGAAATTTTACATCTCAACTTTTGAAATTTATTAAAGTTCTGTAATTATTGTAATATTAGATAACAGCACCAAAGGGAAGGAAATTTCAAATGCGTTAATGTATATGATAGTTGTGGACGACATGCCACTTTGTACACCTGAAAAAGGGGGTTTTTTAAAGTTCTGCAAAACGTTGCAACCTTTATATAAAGTGCCTACTGAAAAAACAATGACGTCAAAAATTGAAACAAAATATAGTGCAATCCGATTGAAGGTCAAAAACGAACTCAGTCAGGCGAAATCTGTATGCCTCACATCGGACATATGGACAAACTCTTCGACTATGCAAAGTTATGTTGGAGTAACTATACACTTCGTTAAAGGTTAGTTCCTCCTTTTTATCTGCGAAAAATAATTTTTGTAGTAATTTGTTTTTGGCGGAATATTTTCACTTATCAAAAACTGGAATCACGGGATATATAAAGAATAGAGCCCGTTGAGCTAGAAAAAGAAAAAGTGGATGTTGTCGGCCTTCATCCATTTATTCTGACGGTATAAAAAATTGTTGATGCAAGTTAAAGTGTGTTAAAAGTTGTTAAAGTGGAATTTTCAATAACGTGGATATGGTTGGAAAGATAATTGACAGACCTTTAATCTGATATGTATATCATATATATAATACATACATACTTCGGGAATAACCAAAAAGACCAAATTATAACCATTTTTTAATAAAAATGTATGTTTTTCTAAAAAAATACGTAATTAACTGTAATAAAAGATATCTTTATCAGAAAGAGTGTAAAAATACCTTCAATTTGATATATGATTGGTAATAAAAAATGTTCAATAACTAAAATAATAAAATTATATATCAAATTAAAGGTATTTTTATACTCTTTCTGATAAAGATATCTTTTATTACAGTTAATTACGTATTTTTTTAGAAAAACATACATTTTTATTAAAAAATGGTCATAATTTGGTCTTTTTAGTTTTTCTCGAAGTATGTATGTATTATGTATATGATATACATATCAGATGAAAGGTATGTCAAATATGCTTCCAACCATATCCACGTTATTGAAAATTCCACTTTTACCTTTTTACTTGTTAAGAGCTCGTATAGTAAATGATAGGAAAATTTCAAGATTTTCGATTCGTACGAAAACAAGAATACGCTTCATTGTTTTTTTTTATAAATTTTAACAGAAAACGATATGGTTTGTGTGGAGCTTGGGGCTTTTCCAGCTGATTTTAAAAAAGACATAGCAAACCTTAAGGAAAAACTTCGTGAAATAGTTAATAACTGGGGCATCAGCGATGATCAGATAATAGCATTTGTCACTGACGGAGGAGCCAATATCAAAGGCGCAGTGAAACAAGAATTTGGAGAGCCGAAGCACGTAACCTGTTTTGGTCACACTATCAATAATATTGGTCAAGCGATCATTCAAAATAACAATGACGATGCTATCGACGATGATGAAAACGAAACGGAAGGAGGCACGCTAAAGGATCTTTTAAAAAAGGTAAAGAAAATAGTAAAGTTTTTTCGAACGAGCGAGGTGGCTGCGAAAAAGTTGAGAGATTACCAAAAAAGCAACGGTCAGTCAAACTTAAAGCTGATTCAAGAAGTGAGAACAAGGTGGAACTCTTGTTTTGAAATGCTGGAACGTTTTATGACATTGTCTACATGTATTGCACAAGTAATTCTTCAGCTACAAATGGATAAGAACACGAGGGCCCGCACGCCTAATATGGTCACTGCTGAAGAAGTGGACGCTCTTAAAGAAGTAACGGATATTCTTAAGCCTTTGCATGAAATTACAAGTGAACTCTGTGGTGAAAAAAATGTAAACATAAGCAAGTGCATTCCATTGGTTGCAGGATTAAAAAAGGTTAAAGAAATAATTAGTAAATTGTTTCTAGAGTAATTTTGTACTTTTAAGATGACGTAGTAGACGTTGTAGACATTAACCAATAGATGAACAAAATGATTAATAATGAATTTGGCTGTAAATAAATCTAAATCTATATTTTACAGGCAACAATGATCATCGAACCGACTACAGCAATAGGCAAAATAGCAAAAGACGTCCTGTTGACCGAGGTCCAAAAACGTTACGCAAATTTGGAGGCGGTGGTTATTTACGGTGTGGCAACAATACTTGATCCAAGGTACAAGAAGGCTGCCTTCGAAAACTCAATCTACTGTTCGCGGGCTGCTGCTTTTATTGGTACATTAGACAAATACCTATTTATCATAAACAACTATTTCTGTTTTTTAAACTTTGAATAGGTAACTTATTAATAACCAGCCAAACCCAAAGTAATGAATCTGTGGAAAGTATCGCTGAGCTTCAAACATCGGACGAAGGAGGCATATGGTCATATTTAGATCAAAACATTAGCAACAGTCAATGCAATAGAAGTAACGTTTCGGAAATAAATTCGGACCAGCTGCGAGCTTATTTAATCAGGCCAGCTGTTTCTCGAAAATTAAACAAAAACCCTTTAACAACTTGGCAGGCGTTGAAAAATGATTTTCCTTTGCTTTTTCCAATTGCCCAAAAACATTTGTCAGTTATGGCAACGTCAGTCCCATGTGAGCGACTATTTTCACATGCTGGACTTATAGCAACCCAGTTGAGGAACCGTCTCTCACCCGAACATTTAAATATGTTAGTATTTTTGCGGTCAATTGAGGAAGAAATGTGGGACATATGAGGCTATTAGCGCAAGACTTGGTCTTGGTCTGTACAACCACTCTTACAGTGGCCGTAAAAATAATAGCACTTTAATATTTGGACATGTTTTGACTTAATTTTAAAATATTATATATGTAAAATTCAACAAAATTTCCAAATTAAAAAAAAAAGTTGGGTTGGCAGTTTCAATTTTGGTATTATAAAATGCAAGTTTGAAGTAGCTACAAATTGAAAAAGTTTGAAATTTTTTTTGCATATATGATATTTGTTGAGGAATGAACTACATATATTTTTTATAAACAATTTATGAACATTGAACCAACAAAAGAAAATGAAGTCAAACATGTCCAAATATTAAAGTGCTCTAATTTTTATGGTCACTGTAGATCCAAAATTTTTTTTTCATTCAATTGTTGATTTTTTAGAACTATGTAAGTGGTACAACTTAGTTATTTCCAGTGTTCTATTTCGATAAAAATTCTTCAAAAGTGATGGAAACTTTAACGAATTTTGGATATGTATTCTTATTTTTCTCAGTATAAATATTGATACATTGTTTTAAGGAAAAATGATTTAAATGAAGCGTATATTTTTTTTATTGAATCTTGTGCAAACGGTTGAAAATATAATGTTTGCGAAATGTGTGAAACACGAATTTAATATGTAATTATCTATGTATACAACCTTGTGGTCAGCTGTTTAAGTTAAATGACATTTTGACCAGTTTTGGCTATTTTTCTTTTGGTTGTTAAACGTTTATAATTGTTCTATAAAAGTCTAGCACATTACATAACCAGCACCATATAAACCCACATTTCAAACACTTAACACATTTTAAACAGCTGACCTCAAGGGTATATAAAAAATATAATAAAAAATGTGATTTTAGAATTACTAAATTAAAGTACATAAATGCTATATATATGTATACATATGATGTACCTGTGTAATCTATAATAGGACTGTTCGGGATATTGTAAAAATGGTCTTGGCTTTGTATTTGCATTTGCAAATTATATACTTGCCACCATGGTAACCGTTGTGAATTTACAAATGCGCCGAAATATGCAAATGCAATACCATGTGCACATGATCTTATGGTCACTGCTGAACAGACCTATTATTTTGTTCCTTGTTTACTTAAAGATCTCGCCTTAAAAAGCAAAATCATACATTGTCATTAAATGTAAGAGGTTTTTATTCGTTGTATAAGTATAAACATAACAGAACTATGTAAATATGGGCGAATTTCCTTTGTATTTGTAAAGCAAGAACTTAGTTTCTATACATCTACATTTGTTATTTCTTTTA